CTATTTCTTCTCATTTGAAGTTGGCAGAGGTTGACGTCAGCACTGTAGGGGTCCCTTGGTTATATATAGTCTTGGTGTGGCGAGTTTCTCAATTGTCAGCTGTGGCAGTCCTGTGCTGGGTACCTGCACTGGCTCACAGCAGCCCGTGTGGCTTGTAAAGTGGTGTTAGTTGGGTTCTGGGATCAGGCCTCCCCCGAAACCAAAGTATTATATCAGGTGCAATGGGTTGTGCTGTTGACCTTCAGCCAGGAGATGGTGCTTGTGGGAGAGAGCCAGCTGCGATGGTGGCTGTGGGTCTTCTCTTTGGCATGTGTCACTTCAAGGAAGTGCCCAGGCATCCTAGGTGGAGGGCAGGGCTCTGGGGATCACCCAAGTTTTCTGTTTGTTCTGAACCCTTGAGGGGAATGCAGGGTGGAAAGAAGCCCAAGCATCCCACCTGTGCACACTCCTGGCCATCCTTGTGGGGGTTAGAAGGGAGTCCTAGGCCACTGTGAAAATGCTGCTGGGCAGGGAGGGCACAGAAGTGTTTACTGGGAAGAGGTTTCTATGGCAACATGTCCCACCCAGTTTCCCGCCTTAACCTCAGGCAGTTTGCCATCTGAATGTCAAATGTCAAATGTCAAATGCCAGGGCCTCAGGTATTCTCACAGAAGCCTGACCCAGCCAGGAACTGTCTGCCACCATAGAGTTCACTTTAGGCCAGCTAGTAAGTTTGCAGTCAGCAAAGGTTCAATTCCTGGGATATGGCAGCTGAAGCTGCTCAGGGCTTATGTTCTTGCATGGATCCACATGAGTTTCAGCAGAGCCTGACTGTGGCTAAGGCAGTTTCCCATGAGGAAACTGCAAGGCCCAGGGGCCCTCCAAATCTGTGGCAGGTGCACAGAACTCCTGAATTACCCTTCCTCACCTTTCTCACTGTGTCCGGAGGCTGCCAATGATCTGTGTTATACCTGGAGGACAGCCTGGCTGATTCTGGCCCAGGCTGGTTGATTTTTCTCTTTTTCGGAGTATGTGATGATTATCACTTCTTTGCTCAGTTATGGAGCATACTACTCGTCCTGTTCCCCTCTGGGTGCTGATGAAACTTTCTCAATGTTGGTTTACTCCATAGGAAAAACACAGTCTACTAGCTGCCTCATATTGGCCATGTTCTTGATGCAAAGCCGCACACTCCAAATTTTTAAAATATGAGTTATTGGGGAAGGTATTGACTGTGTTTCTCAGAGAATGCTGCATTCTACCGCAATCGTACAAAAAGCATAGATGTTTACAATACAAAATGGTATACCAGTTTCCAACACACAACATTTTAGATTTTTCTTATGACTCCAACTAGCATTAGAAATTAAGTGGTTTCTTTAAAATGCATTTTATTCTAGCACTGAGTTCAGCAGCATATCCTTTTAGGGGAAGAATTCTTTGTTGTTTCTTTGACTATTTCTTTTTCATTGCTCTGGCTTTGTGTTTCAACTTGTTCAAAGTGTATTTTATTGATTGAAGTTGATAATTGTATTAGTTCAACAGGCCCTTGTCCACTTGTGCAAGACAGAAAGAGTGACTTATTTGTATAAACAAATAGTTCAGTTTTCAGAACACTGTAGCAAATCTAACTCTAATTGCCTATTTTAGAATATATTCAGCACAGTTCGGCTAAACATCATATTTACCCACTTCTTTGTTCCAATTGTTAAAATCAACTTTAGGAAGACTACATTTCCTGATTTGAAATATGTTGCAATCTAAGTTTGCTTGTTCTTTCCTTTTTTTTTTTCTGAGACAGAACCTCACCCTGTCACTCAGGCTGGAGTGCAGTGGCATGATCATGGCTCACCTCAGCCTTGACCTCCTAGGCTCAGACCATCCTTCAACATCAGCCCTCTGAGTAGCTAGGGTTACAAGCCACCACATCTGGCTAATTTTCTGAAAATTTTTTATAGAAATAAGGTCTTGCTTGGTTGCTTAGGCTGGCCTCATACTCCTGGGCTCAAATGATTCTCCCGCCTGGGCCTCCCAGAGTGCTGGGATTACAGGCATGAGCCACCACTCCTGGCTCTGTTTTTTTTTTTCCTTCACATGCTGAAGTTATTTTTCCCATAGAAGTTGTGTAAAACATTTATTTCTCTTTCTAGACTAATCTATAAACTTTATTTAACCCAGATGTTAGGAGAAGTACATTGATGCAGTCACCTATACAGTATATTATTTCTTTGTCAAATAGATTAGTTTCAACTAGTAGCATCTGAAACCACATTCATTTCTTTGCAGGTGAAATATTCACATCCCAGACAATTTTTAGATTCAGTTTGAGAACAAAATTGTCTATCATGTTGTATTTATTGACTATCATTATTAAGGCTTTATGTCTTGCCTTTTCAAGATTAATAGATAACTCACATATTGTCAATATATTTGTTTAATAATTACTGCACTTAGTAAATAGTGCTTGTTTATCTATAAGGACTTAGTGATTCTTAAGTTTCACTCACTTATTCTCAGAACAAATTAAGTGAATCATGGGATTCTTGAATATTTTAAATCTCTAGTGACTCTGAGTAAGTATATATGGACCATTCATTTCCAAAGTAGTTATAAAGCATGTTTGTAAAATAAAATAATTTTTCTCTTTTGCATCCTTTTTCATTTCTTGTATTCTTTACTTTTTTCCTTCCTCCTTCCCTCCCTCCCTCCCTTTCTTCCTTCTTTCTTCACATACTTTTCTTCACCTTCTTCTCCATTTCCCTTTTCTCCATAGCTTTCAAGCAAAGGGGTGTGGTGTTGTGACCTTGTTAGGGAAAATCACAATCTAGGTTGAATTGGCTCAGGGTTAGAACAGCCAAACATGTATCAACATAAACAGTTCCCTTGGCTGAGCTCCATGGCTCAGCCTGTAATCCCAGCATTTTGGGAGGCCGAGGCAAGTAGATTGCCTGAGCCCTGTAGGTTCGAGACCCACCTGGGCTTTTTGGTGAGATCTTGTCTCTACAATAAATCAAAAATTAGCCTGGCGTGGTAGCATAAGCCTGTAGTTCTGGATACTTGGAAGGCTGAGGTGGAAGGATCACTAGAGCCCAGCAGGTCGAGGTTGCAGTGGCTGGGAGCGTGCCACTGCCCTCAGGCTGGGTGACAGAGTGAGACTCCAACTCAAAAACAAAACAAAACAAAACAAAAACCAGTTCCTCAAATGAGATAATACTGTAGCTTCTTTTTTTTTATGGTTAATTTAAAGTTCTGTTGAGAGGATAGTTCTTGGGCTGGGATATATCTGAGTCAGTGGGACTCAGATATATAAACTGTATGCAAATAGGATCAGATTAATGGGATTTTTATAGGTTTTCAAAAAGAACTAGACCCATGAAAAGCCTTAGGAATGAAAGGTCTAAGGTGGTACTTAAATCAGCACTCTAGCCGTGCACAATTGCTCATGCCTGGAATCCCAGCAATTTGGGAGACCTAGGCAAGAGGGTTGCCTGAGCTTAGGGGTTTGAGACCAGCCTGAGCAACATGGTGAGACCTCGTCTCTACAATAAATCAACAAAACTTAGCTTGGCATGGTGTTGAATGCCTGTGGTTCCAGCTACTTAGAAGGCTGGTGTGGAGGGATTGGCTGAGCCCAGCAGGTCGAGGCTGTGGTGACTGTGAGCGTGCCACTGCACTCGAGCCTAGGCAACTGAGTGACTCTCTGACTCAAAACCTCCTCCCCCAACCAAAAGCCAAAAAAAACCAGCACCCTAGAACCTACTTCCATCCTATCCTTTCCTTTAAATGCCATGACAAAAGTTAAAAGGGGCCTGTCAGCCTCCCCTTCCCTTCTGAATGCTGGGCATTCATTTGAATTTGAATAAAAACCTTTCAGGACTGGGGAAAGACGCGCAGGAAAAAAAGTGTGTTTGAAGCGTCTGTGTGAGTATATGTGTGGTTGGGCATGAGCTGGTGTGTGTGTGCATGTGTGTAGGTGTAGCATGTGTGCATATGCATATACATACATGTGTGTGCACGCGCATTTGTGTGTGGTGACCGTGTGTGTTTTGGGTGGGCATGTGTGCCTGTGTGTGTGTGTGTGTGTGTGTTTGTGTGTGTGCCTATGGAAGCATTTGCCTGTGTGTAGTGACTGTGTGTGCTTTGGGTGTGAATGTGTGCCTGTGTGTGAGTGTGTGTGTCTGTGGATGAGTTTGCCTGTGTGTGGTGAATGTGTGAGGTGCGTATGTGTGCCTATGTGTGAGTGTGTGTGTGTCTGCGGATGTGATTGTATGTGGTGACTATGTATGTATGGGGTGTGCATGTGTACCTGTGAGTGTGTGTGTCTGTGGATGTGTTTACCTGTGTGTGGTTACCATGTGTGTATGGGGTGTGCATGTGTGCTTGTATGTGAGTGTGTGTGTGTGTGTGTGTGTGTTTGCCTGTGTGTGGTGATTGTGTGTATTTTGATTGTGAATGTGTGTCTGTGTGTGAGTGTGGGTGCACATCTGTGAATGCATTTGCTTGTATGTGGTGAGCATGTGTGTATAGGGCGTCCGTGTGTGCCTGTGAGCGTGTGTGTGTGTGTGTGTGTGTGTGAATACGTTTGCCTGAGTGTGGTGACTGTGTGTATACAGGGTGTGCTTGTGTGCCTGTGTGTGAGAGAGTGTGTGTGTGTGTGTGTCTGTGGATGAGTTTGCCTGTGTGTGGTGAACGTGTGTTTTGGGTGTGTATGTGTGCCTATGTGTGAGTGTGTGTGTGTGCAGATGCGTTTGTGTGTGGTGACTGTGTGTGTTTTGGGTGACTGTGTGCCTGTGTGTGAGTGTGTGGCACGCCTGTGGATGCATTCGCCTGTGTGTGGCGAGCATGTGTGTGTGGGGTATGCATGTGTGCCTGTGAATGCGCGCGTGTGTGTGTCTGTGGATGTGTTTGCCTGTGTGTGGTGACTGTGTGTGCATGGGGTGTGCATGTGTGCCTGTGAGTGTGTGTGCGTGCCTGTGTGCTGCGGGCGGGAGAGACGGCTTCATCTCAGCCAGTGGCAGAGCAGTGAGTATAACTAGTAGTGAGAAAGGAAGCTGGGGAGCGACTGGGAAGAGACACCACCGACCTCATTAACAAAAGCTCAGCTTTGTCCCTGCAGAGCGGCCAGCCGAAGGGACAGGGCCAGCGGTGGCCCTCTGGCTGGGAGGTCGCGCTCCCTGCAAACATCGAAGGCATCTTTATCGTGACCTTCGCACGGGGAGTCCTGAGGCTTGCCTTGGAAGTTTTCAAAGCCACAGCAGTCGCCCTGGAGAAGACCAGCAAAGAGAGTGGAGTGTGTATGTGAACTTCAATTCTATGTTTTTCTCTTGGGTGGGTTCATGGATTTTTAGTACAAAGAAAACTCAAACTCAGCTGACCTGAAAGACTGGAATTTCAGCTCTCTTCCTCTCCTGGGTTATTTGTCCTCCCCCTCCCTCTCAAAGCCCTTTAAACCAGATTACCGGGTCAGTGACTCTTATCCCGCCGGCTTGTTCCAAGGGCTTCTAGCTTTTTGGCTTGGAAAAGAAAACCACTATCTGTAAGTATCTGCTTTATGTGTTTCCTCTCTTCTTGACTGAGAATGCTCTGTTAGCAGGATACCCCAGAGGTTGTTTGTGTGGTATCATTAACACCAAGTAACAATGCAAGACATCTGCGGAGTCGCTTGCAAAAGTTTAATTCTCAGGCTAACTCAGAAGGTGGCAACTTGCAGTGTTAACAAACCAAATGCCAGAAATGGGATTCTCTTTATTACTTGACACACGTTTCCTACTCTCTTCTGAATCCATCCCCAGTGCCACTCACCAGTGCAAAATCATTTTTAGATTCTGTAATTTATTCCCCCTGGAATTAGAATGTTTCTTTTCGGCCATATGAAATGGCAAAGGGAAAGATGCAAAAATTAACTAAACCTTTATGTCCTCATGGATGAAAACATAGAAATTTGGGTGAGATAATTTTTGGAAACCTTTGCTTTAATTTAGTTTTATTTGGATGCATTCATATTTTAAGGTATATTTCTGTTTTATGGGGAGGATAGTGTTGGGAGGCAAAGAAATCACATTGTTCTGTACTTTTGTACGGATTTTTCGTATTTTTCTGTTCATGTCTGAGATTTGGTCCCCAGACTTTGGTGCTGTAGTAAGCAATTTCTTTTAGCTTTCATCTGGATCACAGAAATCATTTTCAAGGCATTAAATTTAGTTTCTGGGTTAAAAAAAAAAAAAACTATTGTGCCCAGTCTTGTTGCATGGTGTGCATTACAGAGATTAAAAAGAGCATTTCCGGGGCTGGTTGGTGTTTACAACCCAGGAATCTTGCTGGAGAGATTAACCTCTTCAGGGCTGCCTCACAGACCAGACCAGATCTCATGGTCCAAACACTCTTCAAGTGTGCTCTGAAATACTGACACAGTTCTAGGCTAAGCGTGAAAAGCTGATCCCAGCCCCTGCCTGCACTTGATAAAAGTGCTTTCGGAGCAACTCTAGGACTATGCTAACTACCCTGGCTTTCTTCCCATCAGAGATTTTCAAAACTTACTGGGTGTAAGAGCCACCCAGGTGCTTGGTGAAAAGCCAGGTTTTCAGTACCCTGATCCAGAGAATTTTAGACCTGGGGTGGGGCCAGGTGACCTTGAAGCTGGTGAGACCATGCTTGGATAAACATTGCTCTGCCTTGTCCTTGGTTATTACATTCTTGTCTTGTACTTGGTTAATATTAAACCTTGTATCTAAAGCAGAAATCTGAGCGTGAGCTGAAGTTGAATATGACTTATGTGCAATATGGTTTTGCACGCTTGGCTGATCAACCAGGACTTTTAAGCCATCTTTCTACCCATCTCATCTTTTTTTTTCCTTCCCTTTTCATCTCTTGTTTTCCCATGAGTGAGAAAAGGAGTTGGGCAAAGGTGCCTGGGTACCATGTCACCCTGCTTTCACGGGCTGGGCTATATGGCCTGATCTGCCCTTGCATGGCTAAGCAATGTGTGTCTTGGAAACTTCACAGCCAGGGCTGCTCTTAATTCTTTCCCAGCCTCCTGGGGCAGCTCGGCTTCTGGGGCTGGCTGGGCTGAGTTTGGCTGCACTGAGCTGGATTTCTTGGACTTATTCAGGAGACTTCTTCTTAGAAACAGAGTTTGGATTGGACTGACCCACAGAGATGAGAAGAAACAGAAAGTGATTCCTCCCTCATGTGAGGGTCCTGGTTTGACAACATGCGAAAGTCAGAACTCAGCCTTTATCTCCATCCACACGTTTTATGGCATTGAACATTTATAGCAAAAAGAAGACAAGCTGTGGCATTTCAGTTCTTAGCTGTTGCCACTCCCAAGCCAAGCCACCTAATCCTTTTAGGCGTCACTTCCTCCATGGGGAAAATGCGTGAAATGGGTTTTGGTATCTTTCTAGCTCTGATATTCTGACACTGACGGGTATGGCTTAGTCTTCTAAACACAGATATGGGCTATGGGAGCTTTGGCGTACTGCTTTTCTTCAAAAAATGTCAAATATATTTATTTCGCAAAGAACCACAACCACCGGTATATTGAGTTAGATCAATGCAACCTTTCAGAACACACAGCCATCCCTCACAATGGCATCCTGTAAATCTCTGGAAGGGCTGGTTCTCTGGGCCAGGTTACACTGGAGGGCAACCTCTTATCTTGTCTGAATCTCAGGTTGCTACCCCTTTGGAGAGCTGGGTGGTCTGAACAGGGCTTGACAGTTTCCATCCATGCATGGCTTGCAACCTGACCCTTTCATTCTAGTGATTCAACAGCTATTGTGTTGTCAGTTGAGAGGCTCAAATAGAGACCTTTGAGAGGCTGGGAAAAACAAAAGACAAGAAAAACATTCCCTAATGAAATCTTGTCTGTACCACATTTTGTCTGTAATGTAGCTTCTCTTATTGCTGTGGCTAGGGCACCATTTCAAAGAGCTCTAAAACTTGGCTATCAAGATAATAAATTGTAGCTGTAATCTATGTGCTTTTCTGATAAAAGTAGCCTCCAGCTGTCTGAAGATGCTGTGTTTGGGTGGGAAACTATTGGCTAGCAGACAGAGTACAGGGATCTTGCAAAGATAGAATTCTTTTTGTTTTGGAGTTTTTTTTTTTTTTTTTTGAGTTGGAGTCTCACTGTGTTGCCCAGGCTGGAGTGCAGGGGCACACTCATGGCCACCGCAGCCTCCACTTGCTGGTCTCAGGCGATCCTTCTGCTTCAGCCTTCCAAGTAGCTGGAACTACAGGTACACACCACCACACACGGTTAATTTTTTGGTTTATTGTAAAGATAAGATCTTGCCAAGTTGGCCAGGCTGGTCCAGAACCTGTGGGCTCAGGCAATCCTCCACCTAGGCCACCCAGAGTGCTGGGATTATAAGTGTGAGCTACGGCGCCCGGCCAAGATAGAATCTTTTTAATGGGATGTTCTTGGCCTCTCATTGGTAACTTTTTTTTTTTTGAGTTGAAGTCTCACTCTTGTTGCCCAGGCTGGGGTGCAGTGGCACGCTCATGGCCACTACAGCCTCGACCTACTGGGTTTAGGTAATCCTTCCACCTCTGCCCTCCAAGTAGTTGGAACTACAGATGCATGCCACCACGGCTGACTAGTCTTTGTGATTTATTGTAGAGAAGAGGTCTCACCAAGTTGCCCAGGCTGGTCTCGAACCCCCAGACTTGGGCAATCCTCTCGCCTTGGCCTCCCAAAGTGCTGGGATTACAGGCTGAGCCACCGCGCCCGGCCTCATTGGGAACTTTTTACAGGAGAAGGCAAAATTAGTTTTTGGTTAAACCTGCCTATTTATGGCCTTGATGATATTTGGGGAACGTGTATATTAAAAGATGACGCCAAAATATTCCTTTTGTGGATCATCCAAAGGCTGCTAAGATTGCATGTCACCTTTCACTCTCAACTTTAGCTTTGAAACTTTGCTATCAGGCTCCCTAGAGACAGAAGGCAGATAAACACTCCAGGACCGAGTAAGCCCCCGAGTCCTTCCATTGGGTGTTCTGCCTCCCTGGCACTCCTCTCTGCGTTCTGTCAAGTGTTATCAGCTGCTCAGGCCATGAGAATGCGCCCTGTACTCTTCTCTTAAAATAAATAGTCCCAGCTTTGTTTCATGAGGTCACACTCAATGCCGTGGTATCTTTGTTGGTTAACCTACGTTTCTTGTTAGTACAAAAATTCTTCGTTTGTAAATTGTAAACGAAAACCACAGTCAAGTTTGGAAAATTTCAGAAAGGATAGACGTCCCCAGATGAGGACTCATCCAGATGTTTAAAAGTGTGTTAGGCATTTCCTATCAAAACCCTTTCATAAGCTTTGCACGGTGACGGTATTGTAGCCAATGAGATTTATCTGAGGCGTGATTATTGCTAATTGAAAATTTTCCCCAATACCCTGCTGGGACAATTTGCAATATGGTCAGCATTGGCAATTTTGGACAGTCTCTACAGAGACTGAATTTTAAAAAAATATCCTTTCATAGCACACATTTGGTTTTTTGGAAAGGTGATCCTACTCCTTAGAAACACAAAGTAACAACACAACAGCAAAACTTGTTTAAAAAACATAAATTGTCCTGTTATTATAACATGGTAGGGTGTTTTTATTTCATCCACTAAGCATTAGTGTTTGCTTTGAAAAACAAAGGTAGTATTGATACAAGAGTCTGAGTGTTAAGTCAGAGAGGTGCAGTAGAAAAAAAAATTGGCCTTTGAAAACCTTTCAGTTGGGTTCTAATCCCGGGACGCAATGTTTTTTGGCTCCGTAATTTTGGCCAAGTTGCTTAGCCAGTTTCCCCAGGAGCAAAGTGAGGGTCTTGAGTTGGAGTCTCACTCTGTCACCCAGACCAGAGTGCAGTAGCACGCTCCCGGCCACTACAGCCTTGACCTGTTGGGCTCCGGCGATCCTTCCACCTCAGACTTCCAAGTAGCTGGGACTACAGGTGTGCGCTACCATGCCAGACTAATTTTTGATTTATTGTAGAGATGAGGTTTCACCAAGTTGCCTGGGTGGGTCTCGAACCCGCGGGCTCAGGCAATTCACTTGCCTCGGCTTCCCAAAATGCTGGGATAACAGGCTGAGCCACCGAGCCAGCCAAAGTGAGGGTCTTGATACTTATCTCACTAGATGTTTATGCATGGTGCATGACATACAAATGCTCGATAAATATTTCTTCTTTCAGAGAGGGCTAATACAGGTGCGAAGGCTAGAAGGAGGCACAGACGTGGCAAGTTACTTTAATTATTGGTGGAAAGAAAAGAGAAATAGGAAATAAAGTTTCATAACAGAGCCCACTGACTGGACAGAACAGATCTTAAACCACCGCCCCCTTGGCCTTTAACTCTGATCATTATCTAATCCTCACTTTATTCTTTCTTTTAGAGGGAAAGCCTGAAACAGATCTGTGAACTCCCAGATCGCCAAAGTAATTAGTAAGAAGAGTTCAAGGACAACGTGAAATCATTCTGTCCTTATTTCTTCTTGACCCTCCTGAATTGGAGAATTTTATAGCTGTTTCAGATAAATATATAAGGAGA